TGGCAGCTGTGGATGCTGCAAAGGCAGTGAGGAGTTGGCTAGATGTGAGCCCTTCTGTGTTTGTTGTTCCTGGCATTACCACATTGCATGGCCAGCAGACATCATCACCTCTCTTCTTTCATCTTACAGGCCTCTTATCTTCATATGCAACTGGAAAAAGCCCGTATCAGCCAGAGACCATGGTCTGTGCTGTTCTGGTACCTGTAGCATTCAACAATAGGTGCTGCAAGAGTAGGGCTGCTGCTGCCCTTACTCTTGTGCCAGAAGTCTGTCAAGCAGCTGCTCTCTCTAAACTGCCCTGCTTAATAGTGCCTTCCTTTTTTTCCTTCTGCCCCTCCAGGGACTCATATTTCTCACCTCCCACTGAAACACTTATTGGAAAGTATATCCTTCACCTCTGGCCTCAGTGTCCCCTTCCCCAGGAGGAATGCAAAATCATCGATGATGGGGGTGGAGGGTGGCAGCTTGTTCTCAGCTCATCAATCTATCACATGTGTCACAAACTTTTGCAGAGGCGAGCTGGCTCCAACCCTCATTTATTTTCAAGTGCAGAGGATGTTTGTGTTTGATCGGATATGATGGATAAATGATTTCAAGCTGTGGGTTTCATTTCATCACTAATCACAGATACGGGTTGCAATCCTGTTCATGATGTCAGCGGCTAAACTTCTGTTGACCTCCCTGGCAAGATGGGACACCGGTCACCCTGAAATAAATAACAAAATAGATCAAAGGGGACATGAGAGGGGGATATGTAAGATGACAATGGCGTTGATATTATCCTTAACTTTAATCCTGTCTGTGGATTCACGTATGAAAGCGATATGTGCTTTCCTGTGTTACTCGAAGCTGTGAAGCAGGAACATGTCGTTAAGGAGTCTCAACATTCCAGAGAAGATAAATCCCAGAAGTTTCTCAACAAGGCACAGAATGCTCTTATAACATCAATCAGACCTTTGGCTTAGCTAACAGCTTTGCAAAACCTCTGCCTCCTGCACAAAGCCTGCCTGTGGGGTTCCCTCCATTCTGCTGGAAGTCACTCTGCAGTGCTCAGAGCTGCTGGCACAGCCTTTTGCCTTCAACATCATTGCCTTCCCTTTTCCCTTGTGCATACAAAGTACCTAGACTCCCTTTTCAGTGACATGAAGACTCCCATTCTTCTCCAAGTCATTTGGGTGCTCAACCAAAGACTGCTCCCAGGATTCAGGAAAAGCATCATAACTCATTTTATTTCTCACTCTTTTTTTCTTGTTTCTTTTCTTTTTTTCTTCTTTTCTGATGAACACCTGGCTCTTTTTTCACAAAGTCCCAAAGCTGCCATGTTAGAGCAGGGAATTGGATACTAAAGCATCACCTCATACCTCCTCTGTGCCCAACCAGGGACTTAGTGCTGCAGCTCCCAGGGACTAGCTCACCCCCACACTTCTCTGTGGCACTTCTCTGGCCTCCAGAGACTAATTCCTGAAGTTAGGTACTAGGGCAGAGGTTTTTGGTTTCCAAAACAGACAGCACACTACAGAGTGGCCAGAGGCTGTGGGTACACCAAGCAAGGGTGGGGTAATTTGGGGGGAAGCTTTCTGCCTACAGGGAGAGCAGGATGCGTGAGAGCAAGTCTGTGGTGTTCAGCTGGAGCAAAATTACCTGCAGATCATCAACTTGATAGCAGAATTTAGCACAGGGAGAGCCAGGCCTGGTGAGTCACCATGCTACCACTGCCAATCGCCAGGGCTGCTGATGGCTGCAATATCCCAAAGAACACGGAGTGGGGACTGGCAGAGAGACTGCCAGGTGAGTTATGGAGACAGGCACCCTCACCAACTGGCAGCAGCTACCTGTGTCTGCCTCATCGCAGCACCAGGCCCTGGGATGACAGAGAAGCAGTGCCTGAGACACGCCTGCTTTCACCACTCATTGCTAGCAAGGGCTGTGCTCTGCACATGGCATGGCCATTCTGCTCTCAGGAATGGGGTGAGGAGCAGCCCTTGTTCTGCCACGAGCTCCTGCTCTAGGGCACACACAAGGAGCTGAACTGGGCACAGTCCAGTATGGTGACAGCCAGTGAGCATCCTCCCTGAGCCTGTGGCTGAGCTTTTGGGCAACTCCAGGAAAAGGCTCTGAAAGAGCTAAAGCAGCGAAAACAAACAAAACAAGAAACAATCAATCTGGTCTTCAAGATCACCACGCCTTGGTAAGACAGGTGAAGATGCTCAGAAGGCTGGAGTACCTCTCCTATGAAGAAAAGTTGAGGGAGCTGTGCTTGTTTAGCCTGGAGATGAGAAGGCTCTGGGGAGACCTCACTGCAGCCCTCCAATACTTGAGGGGAGCTTACAAGCAGGAGGGGGATCGATTTTTTTACATAGTCTGATAATGATGGGACAAAGGAAAAAGGCTCTAAGCTAAAAGAAGGGAAATTCAGACTAGATATTAGGAAAAAGTTATTTACTCAGAGGGTGGAAAGGCCCTGGCATAGGCTGCCCAGGGAGCTATGGGTACTTCGGAGATGCTTAAGGCCAGGTTGGATGGGCTCTGAGCAGGCAGGGGGCAACCAGCCCATGGCAAGGGTTGGGGCTGAGTGGGCTTTTAGATCCCTTCCAACCCAAGCCATGCTATGATTCTACAATTCTAGGCTCTACTGTCGTCTGTTCAGTCTGTCCCTCAGCTGAACAAGCTCCAATAGTTGCTCCTAACTTCAGACCTGCTCATCTCAGCAGGTACGTGCTGCTATTTTGATAAGTGGTATCCTACTTCTCCATGCAGCTCTAAACAGAACTGGGATGGACTCCCAAACAACTAAACTCTCTCTATTAATCAGGAATCACATTGCACGGAGGGTGTGAAGAAACCCTTAGTACCAAAATGTTTTGACAATCAAACAAATATCCCCAAGTGATTGTAGGCATTGAGCACAGCTGATGCATAGGCACCCAAAGCAGCTTTGAAGAGCTTTGAACTGTCTAGCTATACAGTCACATAGCAGAGAGCTCAACAAATCCTTCCTGAAGAGGCAGGTGAACTCTTGGGCTATTGCTGCACGTGAAGCCAACTGTCCTGCCTGCACATCCAGCACTACCTTTGCCAGGTTGTCCAATGCTAGCTCCAGTCTGTGCAAACCAAAACAGTGGCATAGGCTAGTGCTGCTACCTGTACACTTTTAAGGAATTACATCTACCCTATATGGTACACTAGAGCCATTACCCCTTGCATACCATCTCACCATAGCTCCAGCAAGGGCTATAGAGTTCATGTTGTCTGGTTAAAATTACTGCAACTCCTGTTTAAGAATCAGTCACTTCCCCTACCTCACAATCAGGATCTTTGCTACATGAATGCAATCAGAGCCCAAATGCACCACCCACCCGTCACTGGGGTTCTCCCTTCCCTTTGCCCCAGGTGGAGGTGGGGACTGGATGTAATGAGGTGGTACTTGGTTTGCAGAGGCTTTAGATGTTGCAATTGGGAGCACAGGAGTGCAGCTGGCCTAAATTAAGTTAGACTGGGCTAACCAGAGGGATTTTTCTGGGTTTCTCCAGCACCACATTAACCACAAATCATGAAGTAGCAAGAAGACCTAAGAAAACGCTCACATCTGAAATGCTTTCTCCCAGAGCGATCCAAAAAAATAAAAAGTCCCATGAGGTCAAAACAGAAATGAAAAGTAATCGTTGGGGTCTGAGGTTCTACAACACACAGAGTATTGAAATGACTCACCCAGCCACAGTCAAGCTGCCAGATTTCATGTTTGCTCAGCCCCAATCTTTGGGTGTTTTTCAGCAACTGGAACTATGAATTGAACTGCTACACTAGAAAACAGTCAATGACAATGGAGGTGGGGTAATTTTACAAGGTAACTTTGACACACCAGTGTGAGAAGGTTTGTGATCAGATTTTGGTTTAAATTTGGAGACTAAAGTTCATCTCAGTTCTTATTTTGCTCAAATGGCCTATTCAGCTCGAGTACATACTTTGCATCCCTATTTCCCTATGCTGCACGATGGAATACGATGCCATGCACACTGCTTGTCATAGCTCAGATCCTGTCTTACATTTCTCTAATGCCTTGCATGCTGCAGAGTCTTGGAGTGTTTCACAAGCTGCTGCATACGTAGCCAGCATCAAACATGTAGCCACTTCTGGGGTGGAAGACAGCAATAACTGCATGCTCTGTGCTAGGAAGAGCAAGATTCTGTCCCGGAAGAGATACTTTTGCATAACATATTATTAACGTCAATCTCTGAACAACCCAGCAGGCTGCTAGCTACATGTTTAGCTACCTCTGAAGGACTGGAAATATGACTGTTGAGGTGTGAATTTGCAGTTCTAGGCTATCTATTTCTGCTCAACCTGTCAGCAGCTGTTTTCATCGCTTAGGTACAACATAGACCAGTAATAGATAAATGTCAATGTAGTTCACAACCTTCTGTGCCCTCTGAAAAGAGTAATGCTTTCTCAAAGGATGCCTTCAAGAGCAGAGCTAACATCAGTTGGAAAAGGAGTTCAATTGCTGAAGAAAGTCATCTTCTGCTTCTCACTGCCCAAACTCTTGGAGCTGCATCTGGTGAAAAAGACAGAAATGCGAGGAGCGCCATAAATAATGCAGTTTGGGAGGGAAAAGGCAGAGATGCAAGGAGGTTTAATTTGTAATTCGTGGTTTGGACTGTGGTTCTCAATGAACTACATTAGCTTCAGAGACTGGGGATTGCACAGCAGTAAGGGTGTAATGCAGTCTCTATTCTCCTTGGGTCTTCTGCAGCCCTCTCAGTGCTTTCACATCCCTCCCCTGGCTGAAGCCACGGCAGTGTAACAAGTCCACTGAACGCCACCAAGCAAGTTTTGTGTTTGGATATGGCATTTTCCCACTGAACAGACTCTAACTCACACTTTCAGTTCTACATCTGCATCAAATGCCAAGCTCTAGGCACACCACAGCTTCAGTAACACTTACCTGGAGCCATCCACCACAGCTTGCCTGCTCATCTCCAACCCCTCTCCCAACAGTCTGGTTGCCACAGGCATGTCCTGTTAGCCCAAGAGGCTCCAACACAGGTCCTGTTGAGGTACCCGCTAGTTACCTTGCAGTGCTTGGGATGGATGGTGCCTGTGAAAAGGCAGGTGACACTCAGTAAAGAGGAGTTTGACCAAGGAAATCCATAACCAGCTCCCAGTGCTGCTACCACCTCATTCCTTGGGTTATAGTTAACTTGCTGCCCTCTTTTTGACGGACCAAAAAATTCGTTATTCTTGGGGAAGGAGAAAGAGGAAATGAAATCCAATTCTCCTTGCCCTTACTCCTTTCTTAATGTCATCCTGGAATCAAAGAGAGGAATCCCCCTTTTTCCTAAACCCCAGAAGGCACAGAGGGAAGAGCAGCTCTCCTGGTCCCAGGCACTACCTAGCTAGCAGTCACAGACCTGTTTTCCATCTGCTCACCCAGCTGCTGCAGTTTGTGTCCTACTCAGCCCAAATCACAGCTGCTGGTGGAAGCAAACACCCAGGTTTGCAGAGCTGCACCCAGCTCTTTGCTTTCAGGAAACCACAGCCCTGGTTATGTGTTCTAACTGTAACATGTGTAAGTAACGCTATGTGTATTCACAGTGGGCAATCCAGAGCTGTTTTTGAGATGGCATTTGCATTTTGGTGGGGTAGCATGGGCCTGCTGGGCCCATCCCAGGGCAGACAGCATAAGGTAGAGCCACTACAGTTGTGCACCACCAGCACAGCAACGAGTTTTGATCAAGTGTGTTCAGCCAGTTACTGTGCAAAGTTTCCTAAAAATGCAGGAAATGATGTATTAATCAGCAGTGGTCAGCAGCAGAAGCCTGTTTTGCTGGGCAATGGCTACGTGACTGCTCTTTCCATTCCTCTCTAACCCTTTTTACACCAGCTTGCACTGTTGTAGGGATGAGAGGTCCTCTTCTAAGCCCGTGCACCAGCATACCCTTATAAGATGCTGTGGCTGGACAGGACTGAGGACTAAACTCCAGTGAAGCTTGCACTTGGATACTGACGCTTTCTGCTCCCCAACTGCATCTGTGACCCTCAGAGTGTTTTACTGCACTTTAAACATGAATATGTAGATCTGTGAGGCAGCAAAGCACTCGTGTTATATCTCACAGCCATGTTACTGCCTCGTCCATTTCTGCAGTCCTGATAAGCACTGATGTGACAGCCCTGGGGTAGCCCATACCTTCAGCCCTCCCTCTTCTCCCCAAACACGTGCAACTCCAGTGCTGGTTCAAGCCAGGATGTCTGTGCTGGCATCCAACAATGCCATTTCTTTCATTGCCCAGACCTGTTGTTTTCAAAGGAGCAAAGGGCCAAGGGATCTATTTGTTGATGGTGTGTATGTTGGTTACTACCAGGACTGGCAGTTTTAAGGATTTTCCACGTATCGCGTGTCCCTCCACGTTGCAGTGCACTGACCCAGACACAACACTGACAGCTGCAGGGTAAATAAATAAAAACAGAGTATTTTGATCTTGGAGGGGGAGGTGATTCGGAGGGGAGAGGGTGGGGGTGTCAGCCAGACAGAACAGGGTGACCACAGCTGTGATGGGAACAGATGCGGCACAGGGAGAGGGAGCGGGGAATAAAGTTCTGCAAATGTAAGCAATGCTGGAAAGTCTTGGAGAATGGCACGCATATTTGGGACAGGTGGGAAGTGTTTACATTGAAATAAGAAGGACAACAGCCTGAAAGAATGCTGGTCACATTACCTGTGACCCAAGTTGACCGCTTGCAGCTCCAGAACATCTCAGACCACCATTTCACTGGTACACCAGAGCCCGCTGAATGCACGTAGAGTCTGGTACATCCAGCATAAGTGGGCATCCAGTGCTCTACAGAACTCGTAGGTGTTTCGTCCCTCTCAAAAACAAGCTGACGTTGGCTCCAAGCCTACCTTTATCCCAGTCTAGCTTATAGCACATCTCTGTAGTACTGCTTTGTAATCATTCGACCTGGAGAGTATGAGGCAGTATCAAGACTATGCTCACCAGAGCCAGCAAGCCTGGCAGCGTGGTCTCCAGCACAGCTGGCACACAGCTGGCAGTGCCGGGGGACATCTGTCCAGCTGACCTCAAAGAACAGCCCTGCCACAGCGGGGCCCAAGCTTGGTTAGACTTGTTTGTTTGTGTGCAGCCTAGCAGAAGCTCTTTCCACTGACACTACTGACATTTAGTGAAACAACCTGAGTTGCACTGCTGCCAGGAGAAGCTCAGAGAGACTCCTGTGGGGCAGGTAATCTGCTGTCAGCCCTGGCCTCCTGAGGTCATCTTCAGGTACAAAGCAGTTGTTCTGTCTGGTCATTAGAGATAAGAAATTGTGTGGCTTCTTCTAGGGAATCTCTGCAATGCTTCAGTGAGTTGCCTTTGCTGTTTTAGAGAAAGGACTCATCACATCTAAGGACATGAACAAAATCCTACTTTTTTTCCTGGCACAGCTCATCCCTTTCCATAAAACATTAAGAGCTGCATTTTTCAGGAACCCTGGAGGCACCTGTGTCCCTATTTAAAATTAATGGAGGGCTGAGAATCCGTCTCCCTAAGGTGTCCCTGAAATCCCAGCTAAATGAGCCGAGCCCAGCCTAGAATGGGCATCTGCTGCAGCTCTGGTGTAGCTGCAGGATGGATGCCTCTGTCACACCTGCATTACCCAAGAGTGGTGAGGAGATGATGTGTCCAAGGTCATTTTATGCAGCAGTGAGGATCAGAAACCTCCTGAGTTTTGTGTCTACCTCTAAGCCTCTCTATTGCTCCTGGCTGATCCCTGCCTCCTGCGACTCACGGGAGAAGAAATTCTTCCAATGGCAGCTATTTCACCAGAGGATGCTCAAAGGCAGCTTGCAAGAAAGTCTGAGCATTTCTAATCAAGTTAAAGGAGAGCTTACAGACATAAAGTCATGTTGAGAGACATTCTCTGAATTTATTCACACCCTAGCCCCTCGATAAAAATAGCTTTATATGTTAAGTTTAGGACCAGAGAGAGCCCAGAGGATAGTGAGGGATTATCAGAAAAGGGCAGGAAGGCAGTCAGAAAGAACCTAGGGGACATCTTGTACAATTTCCACGAAGGGAATAATTAATTTGAAGTGTATACAGACAGCTCTGGGAGTGTCCACTGCAGAGATTTTCAAAGAGTTCTTTGCTGCTTTGGGCTCACTGTAAATCGAGTGTCCTAAAAAAAAATACTTCAGCTATGCATTTCATTTCAGTTATACAGTGCTTAAATGCCAAGGGATGAGTGAAAATGTTCTTATTAAAGAGCTGCAAGAGTTTAATAAGGTACACAGTCATTAGAAAGTTGTTGAGTCATGAAAATAGTCTCAATAATTTGAAATTAATGTTTAGTGTATGCTGTACCATAAAATGCTTAGATGTTGTGGCCATGGATACAAAAGAAAAACCTTAAGGCCATGACTACACAAGCAAGTTACCGCAAGGTGAGCGAGGGTGTAATTTCAGAGCACGCTACTTACATTAAGGTAAGTTCCCATTTGAAGGCTGTTGTCCTGGGACCAGGGCAGGCAGCTAAGCCTCTGCTGAACCCTGCACAGGTTGCCCTTGAAGGGCTGCTGGCTGAGGGCATGAATGCAGCTGGGTACTGCAGAACAGATAAAGCAAAGTAAAACTGAGCAGCAGCTGAGCCTTGAGTAACTGTGCTCTCTAGCACAGATGTACGAATTGATGGATTATGTGAAGGAGTCAGTGCAAGAGAAATAGGCACAGTCAAGAAGCCTAATGGCAAGGGCTAGAACCTGATATAGAGCTTCTACTTCACTGTAAGAATACAAACACTAATAAATGCTTGCGAGTAATAATCAGGACTGCAGCTCCTCAGTACCACTGGCTCTGTTGAAGAAGCAGGGAAAAATGACTACCAAGGGTTTTGCTGTCTCCTCTCTTTTCTGGAAAAACACAACTATTTGAGAAGTGAGCCTGCTTCTGCTGATCTGCCCTTTCTTTTCCATCTCTGGCTTCTGCCAAGCAAAATTCTGCTTATGATTTTAAAAAAGACCAGAATTTCTGGATGTAGTTTGTTGTGGAATGTGTTACTGATAAACCATTTAAAACCAGGACAACAAACCTCCTATCCCAGTTTAAGGATTCATCCTGGAGCTTGCCCCTGAGCCTGTCCAGTGCTGGGTGGAAAAATCACAGCCTTTCTAATCCCAGTGTCTAGGGGCATCCTGGAGATTTTCCTTTTCAATTCATCAATTCAATTAACTGCAGGACTGCATAACTTTTATTTCCTCCTCCCACTAGTTAGTTCAATGAAGGGAGCTGCAACCATCGTTCTTCTCCAAATTTTGCAAACTCTTCATATGTCCTACTGTGAAAAAAGGAGTGGATCTTCACCAAGAGAACCCAGTTACTGCACAGGTGAGCAGGAGGAAGTGTCTGAGGAAGCATCTGAGTTTTCCAAACAGATCTCCAGGAGCAGGTGGGCAATCCTGAACTTCAGACGGACTTTAGCAACCTTTGAGGAGTGAAAGAAAGAGACTACAAAGGCAGCCACAAGCCCAGTGAGTACAACTTTCACTGCATGTCACGCAGTTAGAACTTCATCAGATCACACTGCAGCTTCCTTTGGAGGGCTGTATTAGACCCAGCGATGACACCTAGTCATTCCACACATCCTTTTGTTACAGATCAAGGACTAATGATCCTATAACCCATGTTTGCTTACTTCCCTTTTGGGCTGGCCTGCAGATCAAGGCTATAGGAATCTCCATGAGCAATGTTCCAGATCCAAGGCAGAACTACAAATATAACCTGCTTATATCCTAAAAAAAACTCAAGCAGAACTAGGATGTCTTTGTAAAGCCTGGTTTATGCTACAAAAGCTTCCTAGGTGGGAAGAGAAGACAAATTGGAAAAGGTAGAAAAATTGTTTTTTCCCCACATTGATTGCTTTCCTTCCTAGTATTCCAGTGCCTTCCTCATAACAATATCTTTCAGACCAAGGGACGTAGGATGTGCTTTGAAGCCAAAACACCTTGTGTAGATGTTTTGGGGAATATACCACAGTGGGCACTGCTCAGCATCCCTTATACCCCATGTGGACACAGAGGACAGGTTGCAGATCCCAGTCAGCACACCACCTTAAATTACATAGAAATTAAGTTCATCCACTAGTTAAGAGTAACCTACATTTCTGCTCTTGCCCAGCTCTACAATGATGAAACATCATTCCAATGGAGTAAAAAATACTGCAAACATCCACAAGCCTGCTGTCTTGTTGACTGTAGGCATCTGTTTTCTTTAGGTACTCACAGTGTCTCAAGAGTTAAGCCACTTGGAAGAAGGGGATTTTAGTAGAATATCCGGAGTGGCAACCACTATCAGCAGTGTTGATCTGTCACATCTTTCCTGAAGTGTACATACCACGCTCCATCACACTGGCATGTCATGGCCTGCATTGTTACGAGATGTGCTGAAGCTGTAGCCAGTCACAGTTTGGCATCTTGGTGAACCTTCTGATCCAAGAAAATACGGGAAAGAAAGAAAAAAGGAAGTAATTTTCGAAATAATAATGTAAAAAAAAAAAAAACAAAAAAACAACCATTAAAAACTAAAAAAAAATAAAAAAAAACAACAAAACCCAACTCACCTCTAAAAAAAGCAGCCAAAACTAACCCCAAGAGTCATAATTATTAAGATGGACATTTTTCAATACAACTATAAAATAAATCTGTTTGTATTAAGATAGACCCTTGAATCCACACCACATAAAGGGTGCCAGACAGCCTAAAACCTAGAGCTATTCTTCATCATGTTTCTCTCCTATTCAAGCACATTCAAAGAAAAGAAAAAAACAAACAAAACACATTTGTTTTCCTGGTTCCTGTTTTCTGGTTCTGGCCAGAACCTGGCCCACAGCCAGGCTGTCCTGAAAACATCCTGTATCTGAGTCTGGAAATGCACCAGACTTGAGCTGGACCAGTCCTTGGAGTCTGTGCCACTGGGGAACACAGAGCCCACACCCCAAAGCCCAGCCCTCTGTGCAGACACCAGACTACAGACACCAGATGAGAGGGAAGGCTCTTGGCTCTATTGTTGTTGTTGAGCTTCTGGAAAGGAGCTGGGGAGAGGAAAAATATTCTGGAGAGAACGAAAAAAAGTCTCACAGGCATGGATGATCTCACTTGTCCACACACACACCCAGACGTACAAATATATATAATTAACTGGAAAATACTGTGTGGTATAAAGGTTTCTTCAGTTTGGGTACATCACACTTGGGCTAGTCAAGTTTGGTGCAATCATAACAAAGAGTTCTTCCCACACACCTCCTGCTAAGAGCCCTCCTACCACATCATAGCATTTAGTATGTATTTAACTCTGTTGATAGGTACCTCTATGCTTTTCATACACATAAAACTAGACATGTGATACAATTATTAAATACATATGTAATAGGCTATGCAGTCATCGATAGAACATACAGATTTTCAAGTGCACACGTGCTTTTATACAGGCAGCTTGTTGACTCTCAAACTACAGCAAGTATAGGTGTATAGAGGGCAGAAGGTAAAGTCACATCCAATTCAAACACTGTAAGACAATTTAAAGCTCCGTGTGTTTTTGTCTCTGCATGGGACACATGCGAAAGAACAGAGGGACAGCAATTCCAGTAGCCCATACTGTATGATTTTAGGGCTCCTTAAGCAGCCCCATGACAACTTGGGCAGAATTGCAAAAAGCAGCCTAATACGCAGCCAAAACTTGACAGTTGTATATAGAATCATAGAAATAGAAGTTGCACACATATCACAAAAAATCTTCTACATCTCTTTCCTCATTTGCTACCTTCTAAGGGACACAGCAAAGGAAATGCTTCTCAGAGCACAGCTCAGACCCTCACCAATACACCAAATCAGCAATGTCATTTCCATGCATTACCATGATGCCGTATGGCACAATGCACAGGCCCTGCCTCTATTCTGTTCCAAAGAAAGAGCTTTAATCTGGGCTTGTTTGTTTTAAGGGAAGTGCGGGGCTTCAGACATAAGCCTCTATTTGTTTTCATTTTATTTTGAAGGAAATGCTGTTAAGCAATCCCACATACTTTCTGCTCATCCTGTAGAGGAAGTTGCATCCTTAAATACAGCTGGTGGTGCACATTATTTCCACCCTGGATATGCATAGCTTCCATAGTGGGTATTCTCAGTTCTGACCAGGGCACACTGAGTCCTCAGGAACCGGTCTGATAGCAAAACCAAACACTTTTCTTGCAAAAAACAGTAGATCTCCTAAAATTTTGCAAAGGTCATGACTGGCTTAATACAAACAAAGGGGGGCAGGGAGGAAAGAGGAGCTGTGCTGCTTCTGCTGAGGTACCTCCATGGTACCTCATGGTTGCAGCATTAATAGAAATAGTTAACACTGTTCTTGCTAGAGCAGGAGCTGGTATGTTGTTTGTCTTGCACTGAAGAAGTAGGCCAGTGTTTCTCAACAGGAAGGCCTGTCTGGATCCCAGACAAAGAGGGCTCAGGAACACCAGCCCTCAAATAACCTAAGCACTCGCTCATCCCGACCCTTTACACAGCGAAGAAAACTCACCACCACAGCTGCACAACTGCATCCAGCCTCCCCACAAAACAGTTAACTTGATCCCTGAGCAGAGATACTAACGAGAGAAGCCAAGAATGGTTATTTTTTAGGTAACCAGAATGCCCTAAACTTTACTGGCCTTATGTGACTTTTAGCTTCTTGTTCCAAGTGCCGAGCTACTGAAAAGCTTGTCTGTTTTTTAAGACTCCAGGTCATTCCTTTCTCTGTGTCCAAGCTGTTCTTCCAATATCTTTTTAAATTGGCTGCTTGTTTCCAGTGAGTAGACTCCGAACGGCAGGAAAAACTCTGTAAGAGAGATTGTCTTCTTGCATATAAATCTTACTTTGAAAGAAGCTGGTATTTTTGGAATTCAAGGGTCGGGTTCTTTCCCTGTAATATTTTTTGCTCTGCCACTTACAGGAACCCCGCGTCTCTAAGAGGAAGATGCTTTCTCAAGTCCAACCTGAAACAAGGGCCACGAGATAAACATCTCCTTTTCCTCAGCAGATTTTCTCAATTAAGGAAGCATTCCCTTTTAGTCTGCTCAAGGCTTTCTTCATTTGTCTACATCCAGGTGTGCAGGTTTCTGGGAGGGAATTTGTCATCCTCCTAAATACAGCACAGCATGGGAATTTTTGTTTGACATGCCTAGCTTTTGATATCCCATGTTTCCCCTATTTGTGTATTAGGATCAATGGTAAGTCATGGTATAGACAACTCAGAGACGCTTTGAGGTTCAGTTACACATTGTAAGAGCCTTGACCAAAAGCATTATTTACTGCCAGTTGCTCCCAACAACAACACATGTAAACTTGTAAGAATGAGTTACGAGTGTCAAAGGAAGAAAAGCTCTGCCCTTGAGGCTTATGTTTTATAAAAACCTGATGGTCAAAAAAAGCACAACACAGTCAGACTGAAAAGCAGCCCAGAAAAGGGTCTGTTTAACATCATGAGTTTCAGCTGTACACATCCATACTCACTAAAGCCAGCTCCTCAACCTCGATGCCTTCCTGCATCCACCCCTAGGTATATATTCCACTTATAGTAGAGCCTCTGTCATTGGGGAACAGCATAGCACAGTAGAACATCTAGCAGTCCCCTGGCCACATGTTTACATGTCACTTAAAAATCCCATTCTGTGACAGAAGCCTGGTGCTGTGGGCTTTTCTTTGCCATGGGACCCAGCATGCTCCCAACATAAGCTGTGGCACGGTTTCATGCTTAGGCAAAGGAGATTTGGGGACTGTGTGTGCCATGGATGGCAGCTCTCTGTATACTGAGTTTGACATCCTATAAAAAAGAAAGTGCTTTCCTGCCCTGCACCTGGGTGGTTGCACCTCCTAGGTGTCCCCCAGCCACACTGGTAAGTTCATTATAAGGCAAAGAGAGATGTATAGAATCATAGAACCATAGAATCACCAAGGTTGGAAAAGACCTAAAAGATCATCCAGTCCAACCGTTCACCTATTACCAATAGCTCCCACTAAACCATGTCCCTCAACACAACATCCAGCCTTTCCTTGAACACCCCCAGGGTCGGTGACTCCACCACCTCCCTGGGCATCCATTGCAGTGCCTGACCACCCTTTCTGAAAAGTAATACTTCCTAATGTCCTAATGTATAAAAATTGAAGATGGGTCACTGGCTAATGGCTTTCTTTTCCTTTCTCATCCACACAGACAGCAGCAAACTCTAAGCTGAGAAGGACAGAACAAAGCAGCTTTCTCATCTGTTCATGCTTACATAGCCATATTTAACACCAAATAAGGGACAAGGCCCAGTCTGCCTTGCAGTGCAGATATCTCCCACTCTGGGCTCACAACATTGCTGATGGAAAAAACAGTTTTAGGGGGCGATTAGCAAGGCTTGTTTAGGCTGTCAGCTTAAGGTGACTCCGTCCTTAGACACATCTCTTGCTCTCTGCTTGCTAGAAAGGTTATCTAGACAACTCAGGTGTGCCATGTCCACATTTGGAGGGGATGAATCCCATCTGACACCACCCATCTGTAGGGCAGCACACCACAAAAAGGGAAGGGAGGTCTTAGCCCCCATGGAGAGTTGGGGGCTGGCTGACTTTCAGTCACTGCTGGCTGACTTTCAGTCACTGCTGGCTGACTTTCACAGTCAGCTGTGTGCTGCACAGGGAAAACTGTGCCCAAACCTCAACCAGCTCCTAGTGTTTCAGTAACTGCTGCTCTGCTTTTGGAGCTCTGCAGAGACAGCCAGGAGCCAAGCAGCTCTGACAATGCTCACTATTAACCCACCTGATGGATGGGCTTTTCCAAGCAACCCCAGCATCTGGATGCAAACACGAATACCGCCCTCACTGCTGCGTGGTCTCCAGGACAACTTCTACCAGTGTGTACACAACAGGACAGTCAGGTAGCTGCCTGTGTGCCACTGAACAGCATCACAACCTTATTATTCCTGGCATCAGGCTCATAGAGATGAATAAGGCTGATATGGAACTATGACACCACCTTGTTATAATGTGCCTGTCTCCAGTGTCAATCTCAAAGCCAATTACATTTCTACTACATACATTCACACACAAACACAATACTTTCACAATACTGCTCAGTAGTACCAGCACTGCTCACCTACAGAAGTTATGAAAGCCTCAAATCTGTATCTAACACAGCATAAGACATCAACATTTCTCTTTTATATGTATAGTTTGTTTATTTTCATTGCTCAGGGTCCAATCATAGCCATATGCAGCAAAGGTCCACAATCATCATGTTTGTCTTTTGGGAGTGGGCTGAAATAGCTTGGGACTGAATAATGGCAGAGTGAATCATTTTCATTCAAATATCTAAATGCAAACATAAATTTGGAGTCCGGTCTTGCTTCCATTTGCAGACAACTTATTGAGCAGAAAGGGCCAACAGTAATTCTGGAGATATCTCGACAGAGAGAACAAGTGAGGTCTGCAGGATCTTCCAGACAAGTTGTCCCAAACACAAGGACTTCAAAGAGAGGATCTAATGAAAGAGATTTATTGCCTCATGCAATGGTCATTCACTTTAAAACTCCACTGTCTATGAATGAATTTTACCAAATGCATGACTGGTGGTGGTGTCTGATGACCTCTAGGACTTCAGTTTTCTAACACTTAAGAAACACTGTTAAACAAAACTTTTTTTTTTTTTTTACACTTACCACACAGTATTAAGGTTTAAATTCCTGTCATTTATTTGGTAATGATGATGATGATGATGAATTTAAGAACTTTTCAATCACTATAAGCCTTTCCAGAGACATGCCCAAAATACAGACCTGGAGATCAAGGGACAATGAATACTATGACAAGTAGATAGAAAGGGATTTGTGCAGAAATATCTGCATGTGAGTGTGCAAGGGGAAGAGACAAAGATGAACTAATCCCTTTCCTGGAGGCTATATCTTTGCTGTTTCAGACTGGCACGTGTCTCCTTTGTTTTCAATAATAGGGGCAATTATATCAGAAATATTCAACTGTAAATCCATCGTGCAATTAAGGGAATTCAAACTGCTCAGAACTAAGGGAACATTTAAAGATGGATTATGGTCAGAGATTCTGAAAATCACACCATGTTTTCCATCACTCGACTCAAAAGCTCAGGCAGCTTACTGTTTTCCCCAGAGACCCGTCTTCCCACCACAAGATAACAGAACCACACGCTGATTCCAGTGAAAATCGCTACTGCACTGTGGTGGATGAAAAGAGCCTTCAAAGAGGGATTTTTGGTTTGAGTTTCCTTTAAATTTTTTGACCCTTCTTATCACTAAACAAAAGCTTGTGGTCTTTCTTAGATTGTCTATAATTAAGTTCTTATAAAACCAAAGGCCTGGATAAAGGTAGTCTTATGCAACTTGGATGAAGTATTTTTCCCACTGTAATTATTATTGAAGAAATCTATCATTATATTTTATAGAGAAGTCTAAAATGCATGGCACTTAGTTAAAAAGCACAGATGATCTTCTGTAGCTCCAAATCATCCCACGCTCTACTGCCTATCTTTGAAGGCACAGACAAAAATAAGGAGTACTGAAAGAGATCACAGGATCACACAAGTGAGGCTCACCTACTGTGGGCACTGAAGTAGGGAGTGCCCAGGCTTACCTTACGTTTTGTCTGCATGAAAGCCTCTCTAGTTCAGTGATGGAGCAATGGTGATGGTGAAAGTGTGGGTCCCACATGCGGGGTCTGCTATCCTTTGTGCTGCTTCTCTCTGTTGGTGGCTGCCAGCTTGGCTTGAGCCCAAGGCATCGATCCTTCCTTAGGAAGGGTGAACCTGGACTTTCTGCTGCTGGGCTGGTGCGCAGCTGTGCACAGCTGGCCAGTGCTGCCAGGCCAAGGGAGTGGAATGTCCTGTTTCCTCCTCCAGAAAGGGAATACCATTTCACCACGTGCTTGTAGTAAAGGAAGGAGAGATTGGTTTGAGCACAGCCTCAGACTTCACCTGCAAAACTGAAGCAGAGCTCAGGAACTAGAGATTGCTGTGACTCCGATAGGTCTATCTGGTACTTCATGAACAGGTGAGCTGAATCTGACATGAAGAGCAGAAACAAAAGTCATTTGTGGCTTCCTTCCCTTTCTTCTCAACATGAACAGAGAATGATTTTTTGGGTGATCTTTGGGTAAGGAATGCCATTACTTACGCCGCAGTCACTTGGGTAATATTTCTTACCGATAGCCTTTTGCAGGGCAAGCTCAGGCAAGGAAGACCAAATCTTTCCTTCGGGGCACCCATTGACTGCATATAGCTGCAGAAATGCCAACAACAAAAAAAAAAAATCAAATGAAAAATGGAACATGAGTGTACAGGGCTTGACTCAGAAACCATAATGTTTGGGGGAGGGTTTTTGTTCTTCATTTTACTTTGGGGTGTACTTAGGACACACTCTACATAAGTGCAAGGGCTAAAAGCACTTTTTGATTTTTGTTTTTTATTTTTAACAAAAATTAGATTTCTTACATAATAGCATAATAGTTATTTTCTTTTCCAAAAGCATAACATTGCAAAATTCACGATAAAATTATGAGAATTGGCTACATAGTAAATACTGATCCCACTTCTACGTGCAGCACTGCACAAATGTTGAGTTGATTAAAAACTAGACAACTTTCTTCCACTCACCACATTTGGATTGTTATACAAACCAAAAATCTTCATGTTCTGAGTATCACCCAGTCTTACTTGAAGCCTTTTGGCTAGCCAGGGTTTGTTTCTTTGCTGGAATGAATGGGGCAAGTACTCCACCCATCCTTTTAAATAGACTTAAGCTGTATCATTTAAGTTACTTGGAACAGGATGCAGGGACCATCAGTAAAGGATTAACTGTAACAAAATCTTTGTGAGGTTAAAAACTGGACAAGCTGGCCCTTCAAACTTAGTGATGGGCTATTTGCCTGCAGCAAACCAACCTTCCGAAAAACAACCTAATTACATGTGTCTGGCTTAAAGGTGGTGTGTGTGAGTTTCTGTTGTCTCTGGAAGATGCCCCACTGGAAATGCACCTACAAAGCTGTTAAGAAGTCACCAGCTCAGATGGAGTGGACAAGTGGACTACAGACTAGGATTTAATTAGTGAGAGGCGTGAAAAGCCAGCAATCCAGCCCAGCATTCCCTGGATTTCATCTCTGGCACAAGAAGGGGTTGCATGTTCCCCGCTTGTGGCTTCTATTTTAGCCTGTATTCATTGCTGAGATGCTTTAACACAGCTGTGCTGGTTCATTAACTGCTCAGCATGTCACTCAGCCCAAGCAAATGGCTTTGGGGTAGTATTTTCCAAGCTCTCGAAGGGTAGACCTCTGTGAGGAAAAGAAGGTGTTGGTATAGGAGATATTTGATAATCTCACGAGATACTGAGAAGACGACTCAAGCAAAAGCAAGGCAGCTTCTCACAGTAAAAAGGCTGGTGCTTGACTGGACATTTCAGCAATAATCCTCTGCCACTCAGACCCTACTGAGACACCAATGAACCAAGAATTCTCTTTGAGTTACAGCTAACACCTTCAGGAAAGAGCTCACAGCTCCTGCAACTTTCCTTATAGGCCCAGAAGAACACACTTCGTTGACATGCAGCAGCCACCAAGAATGAGAGAAACAGATTTCCTCTTCCGCTCACTGCATCCTGTTCTCAGGCAAGAACTACGCACAGAATTATAGCACGCTCAAGCCTTGCCCTTGAATGCTTCAGTGAGGAAGGTGCCCTGCCCTAGCTGTGTCAGAGATGTGCTGAGCCGTGCAGCTGCTAGTTGGGCATTGTTTCCAAAGAAACAGGGTCCATACCGTGCTGAAAGTGACTCATGCTGAGATCATCCTGCTCAGGAAGAGACAGGAAAGGTCCCACCTCTTCCTCTGGGGAGGGCCCATGGCATGGATGAACAAAGCAGGTGCTGCAAACAGGAAGGTTCGGGGCTTCCCAGTGCCTTGCCCCTAGGATCCCTGTTTCCTGCATGGCAGAGGGAGACAGGCCATAGAGAACATTTTGTCTGCCAACGCACACTGTGGCATCCATCACAGTGACAGCCATTGGCCATAAGCAGTCTGGGACAGGCATCCCTGGCACGTGGCCCCAGCATGCTGGCATGCCTCTGCTTCTCACCCTTGCCCTGCTGTAACCACTGTGTTACTCTACTATGGCTCAGTCTCCCTGCTCCTGCCTCACCTTGTACATTAATCCAGCCCCTTGTAACTGCTCACTTCATCCTTCACGCAGGTAGCGTATGGAAGACCACTGTAAGTCCAGGTGGTGTAAGGGACCCAGTTTTAAATGGAAGAGATTAGGAAACCCACATGGCACTGTGGAAAGCAGAGTCTTCATGACTATTATCACGCTGGTACTGACCCTATCTGAATAACTAGAGACAACAAGGTCTCTGTAATGCTATTTCCTCATCCATCCTGATCTGCTCATCATTGGGCTGTTCCAGTCTTTGACCAGAGCTGTACCAGCTCTTCCCAAATAGGTTCTCCCTAGTAGTTGCCTCCTGTGCACGTGCACTCACACGTCAGCAGTACATAAGCTGCTTACGCCTGCTCTTCCAAGTAGTCATTGCTGCTCAAATTGCCATTAGAAACCCAGCTTGGACTAAAAACTGAAGAGATTGACAAAAACACATTTTACTGCCCTTCCTGCAAAACTCTTGAACTCCTCAAAGTTGAACACATGAAAGCAATCTGAGGTTAGCATGTAATACACAACCCACATAAAAGAGATAATTTAGTATTAGACACGTTACCAGAAACAGGTTGAAACTAATAGAGGTTTTGCACTGAGGTCATAAAATACAGCACTTTTATAATCTTGTGTGGCATCCCTACTTAATATGTCTTGATGGAGGATAACTACAAGTGCTCTTATGTTGATAGGAGCCCGAGTACAAAAATGCTTTCACCCTCTCTCCTGTTTTGAGAGAGATACATCCACAGGACAGTCTCCAAATGGCAACAGACCATCCTGAAGAGACAGGCAAAGCCTCGCCTCTCCTCTCCTCTTCTCTTCCTTCTTTTCCTCCATAACTACTGGAAGGCTACACCAACAAACAGAACCCAAGCACTCTGTTGCATGCAGATCCACTCTGAAAAAGACTTTTCATAATAGCACTGTAACACTATCTTAGCACTGCCTGCATACCCTCCTTGGAGCTGCTGACTGGCCATGCCTCAGGCATGGAGAGACGAGTGTGGAGATCAATCTACCAGAGCTATGAAGGAATCCATATGAGATCTCTCTTCTGATACTTCGGGTAGCCACACACAGCCTATCATTAATGACTGTCCATTGCTGACTTCCATAAGCTTCAACCACATCACCTCTGTTTTTACAGACCTTGAAGCCCAGCCCCTCACTGTAAACCAGAAACAATGACAAATTCAATATATGTCAAGACAAACAGCTTCTGAAAACAGAGCAGTATTGCACCTTTAAAAAGTACGTTGGCTGAGAAACTCTCCATACTTTAAAAGATAGCTTGGTACAAAAGAGCTACATAGCAAAATGCTAAATCTCTCCAGAGAACAGAGATAAATAAAAGCAGATATTTCTTTTAACACCTTGTCAGCAAAATTCTGTTTCCTGGGCAAGTTTCTTTTTCTCTTTTGCAAAATTATTGTGCTAGCTTGCCAACGATGCTTTTCTAAGAACAACTACCTAAGCAACATAGCAGCTTTTTCATCCTGTCTCTTCCAACACTTCAACACTCCCTCCTGCACCCCAAATAGAAAATTCTTTGCCTGGAGGCTTGTAATGAAATGTATAGAAGTTAACGGGAGAAAATGCTGTAAAGCCATTAAGGGCCACCAAAACTACAAAGATCTATGCTAAAAAAAACTTCCATTGTGACCAATGGCCCACCTTCCTCTTTATTCCCAATGATGAGCTGGGCAAATGGGATGTTCCAACTGATTTTGTGGTCTGCATTCAACTTAGTCTTTGGAGGAAAACCTTGGATGGAACTTGAATTTCAGTCTATCACTAGATAGGGCACTATCACTGAGAATGTTTAGGACCTACCTGTAAACAGGGCAGTCATCAAAGATCACAGGAAAAGAAGTCTATGCCCAATTTTCCATTCTTTATTCATCAACCCAGAATAGCTGGAAGAATAGCAGCGATGTAACATGCTGACCTTAATTAAGACAGTGATTCACCCTTTGCTCTCTGAACACAAGCAGTACAGCTTGGTGCTGAAATGCTTACCAGCAAAGTGAGTTAGGCTGAAAAGGGCAAGTTTACCATGCAGGGCCTCTTTTGAGGGAGAATATAGGGATACTGAGAGACAAGTCACAGAAAACTAACATATCCTTTTTTTTTCTTTTCTTACAAAACAAGGACTTCTTCAACCTGATGATACATTTTTTTTTTTTTTTTAATATATATACAATATAAATACAAACAGACAAACATACTACAGCATCCAGAAAACAGAAACTTACTTTTGGATTTTTCCCCACCTCATTCTTTTTCTGTTCCAGGTGAAATACTGCACCAGAATACCTCCAGAAAGAATGGCTACCTTGCAGGATTTAGTATGATATATTTCAGTATTATTTTTTGCTCTGATTGGATCCTCATGAAGTTCTTTTCAACAACAATTGTTTCCTACACTAACAAGACCCAACATTGACAGCAGAATGCAGAAAGGAAAATTTCTAGTTTTATACCCAAGTGGCTCCAGAGGTCTCCAGCTGATCCAAACCAAATTTTCAATAACACACTTCTTTAAGGAACAAA